CTCCCTTTCACTCTCGTTTAACTATAGTGAGCACTTCAGCTGAAGGGCCGTTAGACAGTAGAGTCAATCCTCGAGTCTCRGAGGGGAACAGATACAGAGAGACGCACAGAGAATTAAAGTGATTCTATAAGAATGAAGAGGAAAACAAAAAAAGACCTGACAGAAGCAAGGACACACTTCCAGGCTCAGATTTAGTTGTCAAACTTTCAAATATYTGCGAGTGAGGTGTAGTTCCTCTAAAACAAACACAAAGCAGTTTGCCAACTGTGATTACATCATTGGCCAAAATCTGGGATAGTTATTTTTTACTAGTTACATTTTCAGAGACATGATCCTGAAGTACAGCTCCTGGGGAAACTATATAAAAACAATACAACATGGAGCCAACACTTGGAATGAAACATTACATGTATTTGTACCAAACGGTCAGAATACACATGTCAGTGTTTGGTTCCAGCAATCAGACAAAGAACCCTTTGATCGAATGTGATCACCGCACTCATTTAGAAGAGTGCACACATGTTCATTTTAAATTGCTTCTGTTAACTGCCACAACAAAATACGACTAGAGGAAGAAACTATTCAAAGCTTTCTACACCAAAACAAAGCAAAAATGGCTAATTTTGACAACACACAGCAGCTCCAAGACATGTCGGTTGGGTTGCAAATCAGCGTTGTGGAAAACATTCACATTCTTAACCATTTGCTACAGCAGTCAAAAGTGCCAGCGACAGGTGGGTGTGTGGGAAGCCAGAGAGGTCATAAATCGCCTTAGATCTGAAAATGAAAAAATTGTGATTTTTTTTGTGCACTTTAAATGGTCCCTGGTGTCCAATTAACACTGTTAAATCTACAACCAGCGTCATCTCTTGTATGAGTAGCACAATGGTAGTTACCTAGCATTTGTAACATTTTGTCATTCATTTTTCACTTTGTAAAATTCTATTCAGCAAAGCATTGCCTTTTATTTTGCATGAAATAATGCTTAATCATTTTGACACAAACATTTCTATGTGGGTGGGTGTGCGGGGTGGGGTCGACTTTTTGGAGCTTTATATGATGTGATAATGTCATTCCCTCATCAGAAACATAGCCAGAGTGTTGCTTTGACTCATTCATGCATGTTTGAGAAATCCTTGAATCTCCTGTGGTATTCGTGTGGGGCTGCATAAACACATACCACCTATTTACACAAAGCACCTCCCTGGAGCTCAGTCCCCAGCAGAGCTCCGGCCCCACAGAGCACTCCTCCGTGACAGCAACAATTAGTAAACACCTGGTAGAACTGCATGTCCGTTGCTTGTAAAAATAACTACTTCCCAGTCCAGTCCTTTTCAGATTAAAAAAAGCCATCATAGAGGAAATTTATTTTTGGATGCCAAAGAGACTACTCCACAGAAGCGTAGAGCTGTCACATGACATGGAATAATTTTAAAAATGGATCTCGTTAAAAAGAGAAAACTATCTTGTAAAAACAAGAAAACGATCTTGTTATAAGAAGACAACTATCTCGTTATAATGTGTTGTGGTTTCTTCTGGTTTGTCACTTTCATGGAAGTTTATTGCCTGGATGGCGTGATGGAGAACACAACTGAGCCGCTATATGCTTTTTTACGAAGAAGAAATCTGCAAGAGGAACACATTTCTAGACTAAAAAATGACAACGTAAGTTAGTACTGAATAATGATTTTGAAATAATAGCATCTGAATTCAGATTAGAGAGTGAATATTGCTAAAGAAGTGCTACTAGCTGCAATGTCTGAGCACAAACCCAAATAATGTGCGTTCTGTTCATTTTTGTTTATATAGTGGTTCAGTTGTGTTCTCCATCACCCCATCCAGGCAATAAAATTCCGTGAAAGTGGCAAACCAGAACAAACCATAACACGTTATAACGAGATGGTTTTCTTGATATAACAAGACGGTTTTCTTGTTATAACGAGACCCAGTTTAAAAATTATTTCATTCTGGTGACAGCTCTAGGCTTCCGTACTAATCTCTTACAATGCTCCTATGAAAGGTAGTAAACGGCATGAAGAAGAAGTGCGAGTGTCGTAAACAGTAAGAGGGTTTTAAAGAGACAGGACAATTCCATGGCATTTAGAAAAACTGTGATGCAAAGTCAAGTTTTTTTTTGATATACACAGCATTTGCATAAGAACTGAAGATAACACAGTTGCAGTATAGAACTGAACAAAGTGCCTGGAAAATACACAAAACCTCCCCTTTAATATAAAGAGAAAACTGCCAGTTTCAAAATTTATCACTCTTTTTGTCTGACATACAGCCTTTCGGACATTTTACAGTTCAAATATGATAAATAATACACAACAGGATGATTTTTCTTCTTTAATATTACCTTGGAGTTATCAGTTGACAAACCCCACCTTTGAGGTACATGACCTTCTACCTTATGCTGCGTTCACACCAAACGCGATTTCAGCTTCAAAATCGCATCCAACGCTTCAAGTTGGACGCTTGTGCACTTTGAGATCAGACGCAGGTCAGCTCTTGAAGCGCTGCACGGCAAGAGCCTCCCCGCCCCTCCCTCCTCTGTCGGGCTCTGTTTAATGTCGGACGAGGAAGTGGCTTTGCTTTATTGACGGAGAGCAAGAGCGTGTCACGTTCATCAGATAATTAATTCATAATTAATTCACCAGATAATTCAGAGACATTCTGAGTTTCATCACCCAGGAGCTGCGGTAGAGGCTCACAGCTTGCTTTCAGGACTATTTTTGTCCCGAGTCCAGTCTGATGAGCCGCTGCCACGCATTGGTGCAGATATCTCCTGTCAGGACACCGACTGCAGGCACTCGATTTCAGCTAAAGAGCTCCTCTCCATCTGTTTCAGGTTAGTGGACATCATTCAGTAAACTGTCCCGTCGGGAAATATGTCGCTATGTACGTCACACAGTGGAGTCTCTCTGATTGGTTGATGTGGCGCGTCGAGCTGCAAAAGTTCAGATTTTCTAACTTCAGCGATTTGCGCCTCAGCACGTCAAACGCTCAGATCGTTCAAATCATTCAAATMGCGCTGCTCTAATTGCGCTTGAGGCGCCGCAGCACTTCCCGACGCTGATTGAAGTGCGTCCACCATAGACTTTGTATGTAAACCTGATGCTCCTGATGCTGAAATCGCATTTGGTGTGAACGCAGCATAAGAGTCACCCCTTTAGCAAAGGTGTTTTGTTTTCCTCTCTCTGCCTTTGAGGGAGTTATTGGCTGTAAGTGAAAAAATATTTTCATTTTATTTATTTTACTTGGGTATCAAACCTGTTGCTGACACCAAAACCGCAATACAGTTTCTACCAAACCATGATTTATGTGCACTGTTACACCCATGCCAAACACATTAGCCCTTCTTACAAAACACTTGCCTTCATATTATGTTTGTACAATTCATGCTCTGTCATTTTTACAACCTGACAATTTGAATTATCTCCACGTTTTGGACTTARGTGGGTACCTACAGTCCTGTAAGTCAAACACAGTGGCATACAGTTGACACCACAACAATTTAAATACAGCTTCATGGGGATAACTTTTTATGCCAACAGAGGGCAAAAATGTGTTGAAATAAATGACGTGTTTACAGTGTGACCTCTTTACATCAGTCAGTGATCATGGTACATATTTATTCCTAGTTACACAAATAAATCTGGGAGGTTAGGTTATGAATCCCTCTTTCTAGCTCTATTTTTGCAAATGTTGATTCTTGAAGCTGAGTTTTTACTCAAGTTATCAATTATTCAAGCATATAATCAGTCTCAGCTCAATTCAATTTATGCAGTTTGGTGCCAAGTCAAACCAAAAGTCTTCTCAGGGCACTACACTGAAAAAGTAAACAAGTTCAGCTTGAAGTCCAATTAAAAAGAGTTCATCACTACTTGAGGAGTCAGGACTTTCAATATTTGAACTGCTTAGATTTTCAAATAACACTGTGTGCACTATTAAGTTTTTTTTTTTCTAATTTGTCAGAAATTTGTCTCATATTCAGATTCTGTCTTTATTACAGGTTATGAAAAGGCAATTACACTGCTACTAAAAGACTAACATAAAAACAGCCTGTGCGGTTTTTAAGTGAACTTATTCAATTATTTTAGACTGATTAAAAATTACTGAACCTCATTCCTTCTATTAACACAAACAACTGTGTCAAGCTCCTCAAAGGTAACCCCATGTTCTGCTTAGGCAGCAGATTGTTAGAAAAACAAATCTCTATACTTCTTTAAGAAACTAATTCATGAGTTATGGATAGGTTATAAACTAATGCTGATTCTGTCAACACTCAGTCAGGAGTTCTGTTTTGAGTTTATAGAATATATAAATATTTTATTTTCAGTCAAAAAATGTCCTGATGCATCTCAGTAATCCAGGTAGAAAAAATCAAAAAGAAAAATAAGGAGGTCCTCTGGATGGGTTATTCTTTAGTGAAACGTTTCGTCTCTCCTCCAAGAGACTTCTTCAGTCTGATGAGTTTCAGGTGAAACTCAGCCTTATAAGCACTGCCTCCACATGGACAAACAGGTTAGTCACATGCAAAAGAGGGCCATCGCCCAACAATAGGTTTGATTGGCTCTATTGTTCATAGAGGGTCATGTGCCCCATCACCTGACCCATTTCTTGTTATGTGTATGTACTGAATGCAATGGGCCACAATGATTCCAACACAGAGGGAAAGAGGGACAAAACCAAGGGGATGTTGAACCCCTGCTTGCATTCAGTACATACACATAACACAACATGGGTCAGGTRATGGGGCACATGACCCTCTATGAACAATAGAGCTAATCAAGCCTATTGTTAGGCGATGGCCCTCTTTTGCATGCGACTAACTTGCTTGTCCATGTGGAGGCAGTGCTAATAAGGCTGAGTTCACCTGAAACTCATCAGACTGAAGWAGTCTCTTGGAGGAGAAACGAAACGTTTCACTAAAGAAGAACCCATCCAGAGGACCTACTTATTTTTTCTTTTTGATTCAGTCAAAAAAGTTCCTTTACCTGACACGCTCAGGTAGACAGCGGGGCTTGTCACATTCTCCCCTGTCATCTCGTTCACCGCCTCCACACGGTAACGTCCTGCATCTGCAGCGCTGGTTGCCAGAACAACCAGCTGATTGTCCAAAGTGATTGCTCTGCAGGACACAAATAAGATACACGGTCAACACGGGTTTACAAAAAACAAAACAAGCATCCCAAAGAAAAAAACATGCCTCTGTCCGACAAGAACAGTGCTTGAACTAAGACTCTGTCAAGAGAAGAGTATTTGTTACACGGATGATTCAGAATTCATCAGGGGCAAAGGAAACATTGAATACAAGCATCAGAAAGGGAAGAGGATTCGGAGAGCTTAAATAAATCTCCCCTCCTGTCTCAGATTGATAGTTGGCTTGTTTCATGTATCTTCTCTGGATCTTTGGTTGTTCTTGTTGTTTGGTGTGTTGTCCTCTGCTCTCCCTTTTTACACACTGATCCATCCTCTTTTTCCGATGTACAAACAGCAATCGATATGTCACAAACACACACTGCACCAGTACACAAACAAACACAATCAAAAATGTACAAAATCTGAAATTGGTCCCACTTAAGCTCACAGAGATAAGAAACCCTCACTTTTACAAGCTGATTCAAAGATGCTTTTTTTTCAGGTAAGCATAACAGGAAGTGTACCTCCGCCTCACTCGGCTGCCAGATGTCAGGCTGACCAAAAAGRWTTTTTATGGGACTGTTCTAATAATTGTCCTTGGGCAAAGGAAGTTGCTACATTGTTAGCCACTTCTGATGCAAACTATATTTACATGAATAAACTGCAGTGCAATTTAAATTATTTTCAAAACGAGTTAAAAAAAACAATGGAAACTGGACTTTTGTAGAAAACCAAAATTGAGAAGTTACATTCAGTTTAAGGAAGAATATTGTACTGAGCTTTATGTAAAATTAAACTGATCCAGAAAACAACGGTCCCTTTGTGCCCAGATCAGAACGGGTAGCCTGCCCCTGGCAGTGGAAGTCGATAGGTATAAAGGTCTCCCTGAAGAGGAGAGAGTTTGTGTTCTGTGTGATCTTAATGTAGTTAAAGATGATTATCATTTCATTCTCTATTGTCCTTTGTATTCTGATTTAAGATTTTCTTTATTTGAAAGTATAAATAGACATAATGGCATAAATAGCATTTTGGTTTTCTGAAGAAAAAAATTTAAGTTGGATTTATAACAAAGAAATTTTTGCCTTTGCTATTTTTGTTTGTAAAGCCTGGGAAAGAAGACAGCATGTTCTGTATCCTGGATGAGTTTCTGATTGTGATGACGATAAGTTTTGTGGGTTTTGTGAAATGAATGTAGTCATTCTGTTATGTGTTGTGTGTGGAGTGTATTATAAGCCCACGAGGGCTGGGCTCCGGAAGGGGCATGACACTTAAATAAATAAAAATCAAATCAAATCAAATCAAACCTCTGGAGGAAGACAGCATGAGAGGGGTGGTACTGAGCAAAGTTGTAGGGGACAGAACTACAAATCTGTAGCATTTAGATTTTCATGTTTTTGAACTTCTGATAGATGCCAGCAGACAGGAACGGCAGGATGTTTTAAGTGATGCTACTTGAGTTTTCAGCATGTAGCTGAACGGCATACCCCTTCAATATTCTAACTGGAGAGCCTCACTGAAATAAAATCAATATGACCAAAGGGAGCATAAAGCCATATTAAATTGAAACGTCTGTGTTTTATTCTTATAGACTTTGTCTAAGTCGGTGCTCTCTACCACACTCATACTGCATACTGTGCTGAACACTGTGAGGTGGACTCTTTAAGCTACGCACAGTTAATATTAAACAGTGGACTGTTTCAATAGGTTTTTATATAGAAAAGGYGTGTGCTTGCATTTGTATGTAATACAAGGAAGCACAGAGCCAACTGGCACACAATACTGAATTATTACCAAATTACAACACAATAATATAGCACAGAAGGGTTTTTTTGTATTTGGCAACACATTAAATCATAAAATCATTAAATTAGTTCATTTAATTTAACAATGACATCTTGCATGTTGGTGTTTGACTCATATTTGGCATCACTTCTCCTCACATGCTCCAATGTAGGAAGCCAGTGTAACTGGCACAACAGCGTGGAGCACAAGTAAGCACACATAGCTTAATTATAGCTATGTCAATGCATCCATGTGCAAAATGAAACATGACAGTCCTTTACCATCTAACCAAAGACAACGATACCATTAGGCAACAAATGAAGACGAGAACCGCTAAGTGAAGTACCCACGAAGAGCTGAGGAGAGGGGAGGAAAGGGATAAGAGAGAAGACGAGAGCCACAAATAAGGTGAGGTTGTTCAGCGCCATTCCAACAAAACACAAGCTCACATGAGCAGAGAATTCCTCAGGTCTCATTTCATTCTATGTGATTACACAGGAAACAGCCACACATGAGCCAGAGTCTCGACCCCCTGCCTCAGTTTGTGTGCGCTCCTTTCTTTAATGTGTGCACTCTCCATTGCATCCACCAGGCTAAACCAGAGGCTTTCTCCTCTTTTCACCATTTTCCAAAGCGAGGAATGGATTCCGCATCTTTAATAAGGTCTGTAATACAATTTACATATTTTAAGTTCATTAACTGCAGTGACCCACAGATATTATCACATCTGCCTTAGCCACGGAATGCTGATTAATAGTGAAGACATGCTCCCACTTTCCTACAGAGTCTGAATAAGACTGGGAGATTCAAGGGAATCCAAACCAGCAAGTTAACATTCAGATTTAGACTCTCAGGGGGAAGATGCTCATGTATTTATTCTTGTTTTGWTTAGATATACATGTTGGATGTAGTAATACCATGTAAATCAGCTTGTTCTGACAGTTGGTTTTCTCTTTCTAACTAAAAACAAAATACTCAGTTTTTTTAATATTAGAGGAGTTTAATTTACTTGGAATTTCTTGGAGGGGGGGGGTGTCTCAATTTGATCCAAGGAGCCAGTGGGTCCCGCTCTTTGAGTGTTACACATGAGGCTTTTCATAGTAAGATTACAATGTTATTAGGATTTAAAATAAAATGATTCAACATGTGGCTCCTAACATTTAATTAAACTGGAATAAATGTCTTGGCTTTTAATTAAACACACACTCAATTGTTAAACTCTTCGTGATTATCCAAGCTTATGTGTGTTTATGTGTGCGCGCGTGTGTGTGTGTGTGTGTGTGTGTGTGTGTGTGTGTGTGTGCGTGCGCGCACATGTATGAGACAAATTTTCCCAAAGGCAGGAGAAATTAAATACAGCAACTAAATTATTTCAGTTCTCCTTTAGCATTTCCCTTTTTATCTAATTCTGCTTTAGAAAAAAAAACTCCTCTGACTCATTCCCTTAAATCCTATTTTCTATTCTCACTAGATTGCTATCAGTACAATTCTCCATTTTTTCCCCTGATGCCTCTCCAACACTATCCATACTGCTTATTTTGTACAATTGTCCTACCCTCTCCTCCTAAAGGAGTTCTCCAAACCAAAGAATCAAAYCGAATTGGTCTTTCMTTTGAGTGTCTGGCTCCGAGTCTAAATAAACACTCATGAGTCGCTGCAACGCAACACTGACTGCTGAACGAACACACACACGCGCCAGTGTGAGCCAAAAGCTAATTAGCACACACGTGTCACAGGCCACAGGATGGGTGAGTTAGAATCTGTGTGAATGTGTTGTTTGGTATTTAAATGTGTGTAAATGTGTGTCAATCAGGTCTGAGGACTGACTTTCCTGCCAGCAGTGCCGGCCCCATCCCCGTCTGCTCTCCTCCTCTATCTCCGATAGGCAGCGTGCCACCTCCTTAAACCCAAACCACTCGGACACACAGAGGCTTAGGGTGCAGAAGTGCAGCCGCCAGGGCAGAAGAAGAAATCCTCTACTGTAAACACGGTCCAGACAGCGGGCTTTTTGGGCAGCCTCGTGTCTAAACCAAGAACCCAGCCTGTCACTGGCAACATCACAGAGCTTACACACACCTCGTTCACACACAGAGATCATTCACTGAGTCTTACAACCGTTGTACGATATGTTTACCTTCTTGTTAGCGAGTGGGAAAGTGAATGCTTTCATTGTGGAACTTATTAATGGGTAACATTTACAGGTTGATGTGTGCAGAATGCTACGTTATGTGAGTGCCTGCGGACTAGTATGAATAAACCTTGAATGTATTTGGAGTTGGGTATTTTGTTTTAGAAAAAAAACCTTCACATTCAGTCGAGGTGTTCTGGATATATTTTTTTTAAAACATTCCTTTCCTCAAAATTGCCTGTCAGCTTGAGTTTGCGGTGCTATGTTCTCTTTCCTGAAGTAATTGGTAACTATAAAACTCAGCTCCAGAGTGAGCTCTGGTCTGAAAAAAAAAAAAAAAAAAAAAAAAGGAAAAAAAAAGAAAACGAAAAGGAGTGGAGAAAGCTCGTGTAACATATTCATCAGTATATGAGATGAAAGCTTTTATTTTTGGTTGGAGTTTTTCTTTATCTGCACAACTATGTACAAAGTTTGACTACAAAGCAATAATGCAAACAGCTACAATCCCACAGTAACAAGTTGTCCTCATTAGTGAAAACTTTGCTCCTATGTTTTAAAAACGCACAATTATCTTTTTAGATTAATTTCCCATAAGGATTCAACATAGTGCATTTATACAGAAGTAACCTGATTTGTTTTGTCTTCTAACTTTGTTGGACTCAAGTTGAGTTTGCYTAACTTAAAAGAACTGTGACTCACAATGAACACATTGGATTTACACAATGCCTGGCAGCCACTTCCTATTCAAGTAAATAAGGCACAAAGAGAGGCTGAAAGTGTTAGATAAAATAAAGTATTGAAAAGTAAATTAATGTAGCAGGAGAGAGTGAGACAGAATTAGAAATGATCCTGGCGGTAAAACAAAAACCAGTGAAGGAAATGAACTTTCCAACAACAGTTTTGTATAGTTTTGGAAAATATGACAGATATTCTCTTGTAATAGGATTAAACAGTCTAACCGAGTTAAGACTGAGAACTGGACCTCTGCCAGGAGTTTTTGACATTATGTTGCCAGTAGCTTGACAGAGACTGCTGTYGTGATTTTTCATGCATAGTTTAGAAAAATAACAAACAAACAG